TTATGGAAGACTTAAAGAACAGAAATAGAATCTCCTGCAAGATGGAGTGGAAAATTAAATCATAAAATGGAGGAAATAATAGCAGCTCGGGTTCAAATACTGACCAGATAGTTGTGACACGAAATCCGCTTCAAACTTTCAAAAAGTATCTAGTTCTCATCAAGACCAGACACCATCTAACGACCCTATGTCAGGAGATTGCACACTTAAGCGATGAGCAACCGAAAATTGCGGGAGACGGTCAAGAGGCGCGATTTCTCCGGCTGCCACCAACTCAAGACTTTAGCTTAGTGCTGCGCAAGTCTGCAAAAATATCAAATGAAGTGCATTGACTTAGCATCTGTCTATGGTTAACATTTGCTGAACTTAGGAGCTTTTGCTGAAAAGTGGACCGAAATTTCACGGATTTGTTTTTAAGCATTTTTTTGGGTTTTTGACCTTCAAAATTGCTATTCTGAAAATTCCGAGGTACCGAGATTGAGGAACTCATGAAACTATCTAACATATCTCCTTCTAAAATTTATACACTTTTAGAATGTTGTAAAACACTTATTATTCGCTATTTGATGTCCATCTGGCAATTAGAATCGCCCCTCTTGACATACACCAGGAAATTGCGATTAAGCAGAATTATGACAGCCGGAATAAGATACGGATGTCACGTCAAAAAAATTTTTAATCATTTCAGGCAAAAATTATGCTAGTTTAGATGATAGGTGTACCAACAACAAAAGGAAAGGAAGCGAAAAAAAAACCAAAAACGTCGAATCCGCACAAGCACGGCGAGGGAAAATTTGTGCAGTTTTGCGTTGAGTTTTTCTGCATTGTTAGGCAAATTATGATGTTTTGTAAGTTACTCAGGAGCAACTTACGAAAAGTTTCTCTGCGTATCATCATTAGCACACTAATTTCATCAACTGGTAGTCTAACTGAATGTGAACTGACTGAAGTAAGGTAGACTACCTCGTCAGGTAGACGGACGGTCAGCTGAAATCTCATTTTGCATTCTTACAACGTGGAGAGCTGGTGATAGGCAGTCTACCTTACCGAACCTTGGATGAGGGCCTCAGTTCAGTTCACTTGAACTGAATTAGGTTTACTACGGGCCAAAGTAAATAACATCCTATGCTATAGAGTTCGGCTGAATTTTCATAGAAAACTTTGATATTGGCTTCTTCATTGTATGTTCCGTATCCGTGGCATCTCGCGGCTCCTTGTCACCTTTCTCTTGCATGCCGCTGAGCTCCGCTTTTAGCAGGAGTGTCTCATCCGGCGGAATTGGACTAATTTAGTCATCGAGTTCTTGCGAATGCGTCCTTTTCATCATCTTTATATCCGACTTGTGGCACATAGACGGAGACTCATATGCTTTTCCACTATCATTCTTCAAAGGCAGAGATTAGGCAAACTTGGAATTATGGGGATTTTACGTGGATAGTAATTTTGGGGTCTTAAGGCACTGCCCAAGCGGCAGCGCAGTGAGTCACTAACGGCTATGACATACGCCTTCGAAGTGGACCCCAGGATCGTATTTCGCATGGATTCATGGCGCAAACCATCAGTTTCGCGTGGATCGAACTGATGTGTTGCGCCATGAATTCATGCGAAATACGATCCTGGGGTCCAGTTTCAAGGGAATATCTTACATGGGAGGTGTTTTCGGTCGAAGTGGCCTTTTCACATGAAATTGATACGACTATAAAGAGCGTCAAACGCTGATTCCAAATCTGTCTTCACTATCTGCCCCTCTAAAGTTGAGTTATGAGCGTTTTTTGAGTTGAGGAGTTAAATGCATAATTAGGACAATATTCGTCAGATTTGCTCAAATGGTCCAATGTTGATTACCAAAGCACTTTATTTGAACAATACTTTCTATCTAAAGCACTCATACTTAACACTGCCCTATTTGAACGCTGAGAAGACCGTAAAATCTTATTTTACTTAGATTATGCGTTCATTTTTCGCACCAAAAAAAATTCATAACTCGACGTCTAGAGGCGCTCGGCAGATAACGAAGACAGATTTGGAATCAGCGTTTGATGCTCTTTATAGCCATATCAAATTCATGTGAAAAGGCCACTTCGACCGAAGACACCTCCCTTGTTAGAGCATTATCTGAGCTACTGGTTAAGCAGTGGCTGGCTTAGTTAGGGCCCCAAATTATTATCCACACGACATCTCCATATGTCCAGGTTTTGGCCCCTGCCTTTGAGCTTATCAAACGGCCGCTTCTGCGCACAACTATTTTGCTTCGTAGATTCCCTGAGACAACTATACCATGTTTCTGGTGCATGTGGCACGTTGTAGAAGAACTCATACCCTCACCGATGTCGCGTAGCTCTGCCCCGCTCCACTTCGTATCCGGTATGCAGCTACATCAACTCGCCATCTCTTCAGAAAATCTGCCAACTTTTAAGAATGAAAGATGAGTGTACCCGAATTGTTGGGTAGCTAGAGAGTCTGCTATGCCTTAAATCGTGGTGAACTAGCCGCTTTAACCGTCCCCGTTCATCTTGCTGAGACAGTAACACTGGCCTACTATCCGTAATTGTCGTTCTTGAATGCGCGTCGCTTTCGGGAAATGTCCTAATCTTTGCTCGAGACTCTTTTGAGACATGTCTTTGGTGCGCGGAACGTTTCTTAGCCGGCTTATCGCATGCCCTTTTTTGACAGGGCAGTCTGACGCTGGAATTGTGAGCAGAATTTTTGCCGCAGAAGTTAGACTCAGGGTGGCAAACCCGCGACCTCAGCACTGTGTGCTTACGTAGAGCACGCACCACTTTACTAACTATCAAAATAGGGGTGGAAGAATAATACTGTATACATGATATATTAGTTAGCATTCACGCGATCGTACTTGAATGTTGACCCACGTGAACAAGGAAGTATGCCTGTGTACCTTTTTACTCTCTGTGAACGTGAAAACTCCGACAAGTCCTTCATGTATGACGTTTTGATTCGTGTTTTACGATTTTCCAGGTAACAGCACAATTTGGTATTGAACGGAACGAAGAATCTCAGCAACTGCTTGGGAACTGGTGAGAAGTGCAAAAATATAATTTTGCGGAGAAAAAGAGGATCCGCGAAGTACGTAGTACTGTTCTATATCAACCCTTACTATGAATTATTTTTTCTATGTGAGGTGAAATATGCTTTGCATTTGGTTTGGAAACGTGCCTATTTATTATTGTATTTGATTTGAAAGGAAACAACATGAATGCAAGCAAAATTTGCCGCGCCTGTAATCTAAACAAGCACTTTTATGCTTTTTCTAACTTTTCTGGAAGTCCGACAAAGAGGCTTGACGCCGCAACGCGGCGAAAGTGAGATTGACGTAGCCGCGAACAAAATATAATATTATACATGCACTAATAACGAATTATGTGGAACAAGATTGCACATGCACTGCACAATACTATTTAGCACACTTCCTGTAGTGCCAAAAGCGACCACTCAGTCAAGATAGAGCTTTGAAGACAGCTTATTACACGATGGACGTGCTCCATCGTGTCTTGCGAAAAGCAAGCGCGATTTGAAAGCTGAGCCAAAATCAAAAGATTGCTTGTTTAAACGTAAAGACAAGCACATGACACCAAATTTGGGCTGTAGGCATAGAATATTACTTGGGGAGAATTATGTAAACGGCTCTGAAAACTTATATGATATGATAAAACCAAATAGTCCATTTCTAGACCGTCATCATACGATCTGAGATCGTATGGAGTATATATTCTGTAACTTCATGAAAGTAGTTCTAGATTTTTTTTATCATGGACGATTTCCCCGGTCAAGAATCTGTCTCTGAGCATAAAGACATTTCCATAATGTTGCCTTTTCCTTTGTTTTTTTCTTGCCTGATCTTCATAAATCGTTTCATTAGATATCGCGCTCCAATGCCAAACTCTTCTGAATGCGCAATTTTCAGCTCCACTTTGTTCTTTTTTGATTCACGTTTTTCCTTTGAAAGTAATGATTCTTCTTTGTCTCCAACTTTTCCTAATTTAATAGGTTTCCGACAAAAGAGGACTTTGTAGGATTTTCGAAAGACAGGGGGATTCGTTTCAGAATCTAGGAACCGACCCGTGCCGGGTCCTGGGTGCTCCGCGCACGCATTCTCATTACGGCGGCGAAAAGTTGAAAGGAGTATAGCGCATGTTCTCTCTTGAATCCTGCTTTTCGACAGAGTCATCACGTGCTATTTAAACTCAGAGCATATACAAGGTTGTTAATTCAGGTAGAATGGTACGGCTCTCACTTGCGGATGAGGCAAAGTACTCTCACGCGTATCTAAAACTCTACGTGGTTGGCATCTTCTTCTTCGTCATCTCCATATTTCTGACGACCGTCTCAATTCTCAATGTACCTAACAAGCTCATCGCATGGGAGAAAAGTAACGATAACTTTACTCAATACTTTATAGACACCATGGAAGTAAGTTTTTAGAGAAACAGCTCTTGATTCTTCAATACACAGAGATCGTCTGAAAATATTATAAAAGGAAGTACAACAAAGATGGAGCCGCTAGCTTACTGGTCATCAATAGTAAATTAACATACTATCATATCAATCTATCATTGAAATCTTGATATATTAATAATATATCGTTAATATAATAACACACTATACTGTAATATACATTAGTATACATTAAATATACTCTAATACCATACTAATTGATAATATACAATAGGGTGGTCCACATGAAGTATGACACCACAAAAAAAATGTTACAACTCTGCGAGGACTGAATAAAAAGAAGCTTTTGTCCCCGCTTGATAAAGAAGAGAATTCTGTACAACAACGTTTAATTGACTCTTGAGATATATATCTTGACTCTGGTAAAAGCATTTATTTTCCTTCAAACCTTTTCCAGAATTTTTCGATGCGCGCGATGGTATCTGCTTCCAAACTCTCACCAGGTTTCTTTTTAGCAAAAACAAATGACATGGCTTTTGAAGAGCAGACTTTTCCTTTCAGGCAGACAGAAAGGAATATTTGTAGGTTCAAGGGTGGGCGAGCTAGAGGGCCAAATATCATTTTTTTCCAATGTCCAAGTGATGAATTTTAACAACTGCAATTTAATCTTTTCGCTGTAAATTGGTTTTTAGTCATAACAAAAAAATTTCCAAAAGCGTTTAATGTTTTCTTTGATCCCAAAAGTGCCGCAGTCCTTCAAAGTTTGCTTCCGATGTTATTTTCAAAATCTCGAAAAACTGCGATTTTCGCTGCCATTCAACTGCTTACAGGGTGCGCCAGAATTATTTGCGCGTGTATTCTGCAATGCAAAACTCGTGCAGGACGAGATCAGCGATAGGCAAAAAGCTATTTTGTTTCAGTAAAGTTTTATCATTAAGAGTCTATAGCATGAGTTGGAGTTTCTAAGTGTGGCTTGAGAAAAATCAGAAAATATCTTACTGATTAAGTTGCGTGCAGCACGCAGGTAATTTTTCAGAGAATCTTCTGCTTCTTCATAGGAAAATGCTGCTGTGATGCAAGGAACACACCACATGAAAGAGCAAGATTTCGGCTGCAACATACTGTATGCGCAAAATCTAGGATGGTCTGACAAGAAAATTATCGACGTTTAAACAAAGTCATGTGTTTGCTACATGCTCAAAAACTGCACATTTTAGGGGTGCGAATGAGCGGAAAAAAAGCAGAAATTGACTCCAAATGAGGTTCAAGTTGGAGTTGGAGTTCAATTTCATCAGTGGAAAAGAAATGAATATTTATCTAGAAGCTTTGTGAAAGCACTATAGCATTGAATCCGGTGACAGGCACGTTTCTGTAGCTTACAAATGTGATTTGAAAACAAAACGGCCACTGACACGCGGGTGGCATTTGCATACTTTTTGTTGCCATTTTTGGAAGAATAATTGTTGGTGAACGCCAGTACCATGATTCGATAGCGCAAAGCCTCCTCTACACTGTGGACATAAAATCCCTTGAAAATGTCTCAAGAATCTCCAGTTACGGAATGAATTATGACTACCAAAAAATTACGTTTTTGCGCCTTCTAGAAGTATAAGTACGACATTTTCATTATTTGCACAAAGGTATGTCAATCGTCCTGGGCTCATAAAGCGTTATTTTGTAGAGGATGATTGCAGCATTCTACCACATAAATTTTGAAATCAAAACTATGAGTAGTTTCTTTGCAGCACTCATGCAAAGTTGACGCAAATATTTTTGGCGCACCCTGTAAACCTTCGAGCTTGGCCATGCAACTGAAGTTGGGAACAAGCACAATGGGACAAAAGAATATGAGAGAGACGACTATCATCAAAACATGGAATGAATAAGACTGAAAAATGATTTTTTGCAACTCGTCAAACATCATGTGGGCCACATTGAACAAACACTGTTTGGCCTTCCTACTCGAACATTCTTGAACCAACGAATTCTCTTCTTGGCCTATCTGTGAACAAAACGCCCGCTCTTCTAAACCCATTTTATCAGATTCGCTAGAAGGAGAGCCTGGAACGAAGTTCCGCCAAAAACCATTGCGCGCATTTTAAAGTTTTCTCCGAGCAGAATAAATTCTTTCATCAAAGCCGGAGGTGGATATCTTAAGTATGATGATATCATATCTATGATATTTTATACGGAATCTTCTTTTCTATCAGATAATAACGAAAGCTTCTAATTTTATCAGGGTCTAGCAAATTTGAGAAAGCTTTTGTGAGTAATGCATGCGGACCACGCTGTGTATTGACAATAATATATTAGGTAGATCCGAAAGTTCGTGACGTCTTTCAGACCCGTGCTCGTCAGATTGATGAAAACAAACGCTACAGACAGTGTTTAATGCAAAACTTTTCTCTTTTAAAGGCTGTCAAGTTCCTTTGATGTCCAAAAATCGTCAGAATCGCTAACCCATAGTTTTTACCTATCGTGAGCTTGGCTATTTTTTAAAATTTCCATTTTCAACTTTTGGACTAACTTTGATAACACTTGGATAAAATAAACAAAATGCATTACAACACATTTTTTGGCATCTTTAGTTGTCTTTTTAAAATACTTTTGAATAATTTTTCGATGCTATTAATTTCCATATTTAGGCATCCCCAATCTCAAAGAAGAATAAACAGCTAACAACTAGAGTGTCAATTTTGCAATTTTCTTCCCTTTCTGAGAGACTTCTTTCGTTCCTGATTTATACTATTTGAGGATAAATTATTGCAATTAATTCTTGCATCCAGACTCGTCCTAGGCTGTACCCAGAAAATTCGGAATTTGATAGTCGAACCGCTAGACGCTCAGTTCTTCTTAAAATCAGCGTTAAGTCATAGGTTGTTTTTGGAAGCTATAAATTCCGAAGATTTACCAATGTTTGAAGCAGTTGTGCATTTCGTGACTTCGCCAACGTTAGGGCTTTAGAAATATCTTAAAAGATACTGAAAACTAGTTGAAGAGGCCAAAAAGTGTATTGTGATGCATTTTGTTTAATACGACTGTTGTCAAAGCTACTCCAAAAGTTGAAAAAGAGATTCTAAAAAATAGCCAAACTCAAGTTTTATGAAAAGCATGGGTCGGAGCTTCTGTTTATTTGAGAGGACATCAAAGAAATGGAATAGAAACATAACTGTTAGAAAGAGAAATATTCTGCCTTTCTATTCCGAGTGGTTTGAGCATGGGTCTGAAAAACGGCACGAAGTTTCGGATCGACCTAATAGAATAATGCGGCACTCTCGTACTTATTAATCACATCAATAAGTCCAAGCACTGCCTCTCGAGTTTCAATAATCAATAATCTTTCAATTCCTCCTTTTCTCACTTTTATGCTATCCTAGAATATCAAGGTTTCGCGAGTTGAAAGAAAACTGTGCAATACGATATGTTATCGGCAAACTTTGACTTGACTGACAATGAAAAAACTTGAAAATTTATCGAAGATTGATACGGTGTTAGAAGGCTGGCGTATACGAGTTTGTTTATAGATCTGGCCCTCCTCGACCAGAAAAAGGATTTCCATGACAAACAAATGTCTATGGCAACGTTAAAGGCAACATAGAGGCCCTACCAAGCATAAGTAGTAACAT